TGTAGGCATTTGCACAGATTGAGCTCCTTCTATGATACGCTGCAACAAGGGTCTTGTATCTTTTACAAATGAACAAAACGAGAATGTTATTGTAACTCATTGCTTCCTTCATAGAGAGGCCTTGATGTCAAGAACATTAGGAGAGGATTTAAGAGAGGTCTTAGATCAAGTTGTTCAAATGGAGAACTTTATTAAAACAAGACCAGTTAAATCCCGCCTATTTGAACAGATTTGCACCAATATGGAGTCTCAACACAGACGGCTACTTTTACACACCGATGTGAGGTGGCCGTCAAGAGGCAAAGTACTTACCCGTGTACACAAGTAATGATAAGAACTTATCACATTTTTTGGGGCAATGAAACAATCTCATTTTTGTAACCTCCTTCAATGTGAATTTTGGATTACAAAGTTACAATATTTGGCATCTATTTTTCAGCATCTCAATATTTTGAACTCTAGCATGCAAGGGAAAGAGGAAAATATCCTCACATCCACTGACAAAATAAAAGCGTTTCAGAGAAAGCTACAGATTTGGGAAAGAACAGCGATGGAAGGCAGTCTCGTAATGTTTCCATTGGTAAGTAATAATTGCAAAACTGAAATTCTGCCAATGATAGTTGAACATTTATCAACTTTAGAAGAAAATTTGAGTTATTATTTTCCATCAATTAACACTGCGCAATATGACTGGAATAGAAACCCTCTTGTAGAAACTGCAATATATTCTAGTTTAACGCTAACAGAAAAAGAAGAAATGGCAGCTGTGTCCAATGATCGTGGATTGATGATTAAATACAAAGAATTGTCTCTTGAAGCTTTTTGGATTTCTATCAAAGAAGAACATGTGTCGATATCTAAAAAAGCGCTGGCCATTTTATTGCAATTTTCCACCTCATATTTATGTGAACTGGGATTTTCAACCCTCGCCACAATTAAGTGTAAAAAGAGAGAAACTCTTCAATGCATTGATGAGGAAATGAGAGTTTGTCTCTCAAACATAAGACCAAACATTGAAGAAATCGCAAGGTCTCATCAAGCTCATGTTTCTCATTAACACAGAAATGAATAAACTTCATAGAGGTATGTTAAGTTTGCTTTTATTAAATGCGTTATTTTTCTATATATTTAACTTAATTATAACATATTAGTCCTATTTTGTATACAGTGCGCCAGCAAGTGTCTGTAGTATTGTAAGTGCGCTCAGACTGTATAAAGTTTGAGAACCACTGCTCTAGGAATTCCAAGAGTCATGACAGAAAATTCCTAAAACGATTTTATATAAATATGATTTATAGAATAAAATTTATATTTTTGTAAAATTAAATTTATATGATTTAAAACATTAAATTAGGAATACAGCTTTTAATTTACACAAATTTTTTTCAAAGCAAAAAACATCGATAAGTTTGGGGGGTCCGCGAAATATTTTTAAAAGACATCTAAAAACACTATTTATATTGCTACGACAGCGGAAGTCACGTGACTCAGGTAACACGTGATGAGTTTTTAGAAGGCTCGAGTGTTTGCCAAACGCCCTCTATTTTCGTATATGTAAGCCCGGCAAATAAAACGGAGGGAAGAAGTGACGGCATAAATAATTGCAGATAGAGAGATATAGAGACAGACAATTGAGTCAAGTGAGCGGTAGTGACCGTAAGTAAAGTGCGTGAATCGTTGTGAATTATAGCGTGTGTTTAAGCTTAAAGTGACTGTGGAAATTCTGCGTATTACTAAATCGGTCAGGAGTGAAGCGAAGGCCGCCGGAATGGCGTGGACCCAGCTGAGGAGAGCAGCCCAGAACAGAGTCCGTTGGCGAGGTGTTGTTGCGGCTCTATGCTCCACTGGGAGTCTACAGGATTAAGTCAAGCCAAGTCACGTCCTTGCGCTCTAAAGAGCGCCCTTTTAAAAATAAATAATTTCAATAAAAAATGTTATTTCCTGCCTCTCCCAGCAACAGGCACATAATTTATAATATTGTTACGTCTCCGTTCGTTCGTTAATTTTCATTAAATTCGTTCCGACGAAACTTTAGCGACACAAGTCCTTTCTTAAATAAAACTGGTTTATTCTTTCCGAATACAACTTTACGATACACTTAATTTCAACAGTCGCTCTATAACAAACACTATAATTCACGTCTCACGTGGCCAACAATATTTTGTCCTCATACATTCAATTACTCATTCACTTGTTGCGTCACGTTGTGAGCGTCTTATGTATACCAGGCTATCCCCAATCTAGTAGTCTCCGGATAATTCATGAAGGTTCGAGAAGGAGTGGCGTGATACTAGTCACATGACCTCGCTGACGCAACAATATTATATTCAAGTTTGATGTATCATCTGAGTGCATCAATATAAATGATGTATGCTGAAATTATATGGCGCCCATTCAGGTGACCACATCTCCAATTCCAAAATCCTAGATCCGCTACTGCAGACTAGTTTTATTCTTTTTTATTTGCCTTATCCACAGTTACTGATGAGGGTTGAAATTTCTCGAAACCAGGATAAGTCAGAGACCAGTGGTAAATCGAATGATAGATTGTTATTCAAATTTATTTTAAGTTCAATATTGTTTTTAAGTAAGGTATCGACTGCAATACCTAAAATCGCCTCAAAAAGCGTTTAAGTTCATTTCATAAGATGTCACCAGTGGGGAAGTGGTAAGTTTACGGAATTACAATGCTAAGATCTGGGTGGGTTCGCTTCCCTGCGATGAACATAGTGGATAGCCCAGTGTAGCTTTGCTCTGAAACAAACGCTCTTTATGAGACTTATAAATAACCAATAACATCAAAGTCCCAGCTTTAGCTTCAAATGCTTTAACTTATATGTTAAATAGAGGGCGCATGATGTTAAGATTAAGTAAGTTCATAAAAATAGTCCTAACATAACTAAAAAGTTATTGGTGATGTTAAGAATCTAGATAACGTTATATTGTTTATAAATACGAGTAATCAGTAAATGAGAAGTTAGTGAAGAATTTATTGAAATGGTATTGAGTAGTGATTGAACATTCAGTAAAACATTCAATGTGTGAAAGGTTAAGTAGTTGTTGATCGAGAGAACACTGATGGAGTAAAGTTTTATCAGTGAGTACATTTTTGGTTGTTTGGTTTGAACTTCTCGCAAAAATACACGAGAGCTATCTGCACTAGCAGTTTATGATTTAGCAATGATAAACTAGAGAAAGGTCAGCTAATCAACACTGCCTACCGCCAATTATTGGACTACTCTTTTACAAACAAATAGTTAGATTGACGGACACATTATAATGCCCCCATGGCTGAAAGGGCGAGCATGATCGGTGACTGGGATTCGAACCCGCGAACCACAGATGATAAGTGTTGTGTCCCTATCATCAAGCCATGAAGGTCGGTGAGTATGTTAGACACATTTGTAATCAATGGAGCGAATTTCTGAGAAACATTATTAATGTACTAAGCCCACAGTATTTTCAGGGCTTATTGAAAAAATCTTTTGTGAACTTAGGCCTACAACATGTGTCATAGTGAACGTAGCTTGTAACAAAGGTTATCGACAAAATAATTTAATTCGTTACTGATAAGGTGACTGGACTTAGCATTATTTTTTACAAAATAACAAAAAAAAAAAAGAACTTACCCAACAATAGAACACACCATAACATTGGTATCAGAAGTGGGATTATTTTGGTGAAAATGAAATAGAAATTTTATTAAAATTCGACTTTCAAGATGACTCCATGGAGATTGGAAATTTATTGGAGTTAATGAAATAGTTAACAGAAGGCCAAGAAAAGATAAATAAACCTTTAATGCGGGACACAGATTGTGCTGTTTACTGTATTGATTTGGAAGACATTTGTTAATGCTTATGACAGGTTAAGGGAAGTTCTGGATGAATCAATGAAAGAGAACTTTAAGATGAATCTCAAGACATGTTAATTGTTCCATCAATAGGCAACTTTTCTGGGACACATAGTCAACAGAGAGAGAAAGTGCCTACAGACAAGTCGATGATTGACTCTATTTAAAATTGGCTAACACCAAAGAACTTGCATAATATGTGAGGATTTCTTGGAATGGGCTCTTACTCTTGTAGTTTTATAAGATAACTTGCTGGTACAGATCGTCCTTTACACAAGTGACTTTAAAAGCCAAATAAGTTTTGTTTGACTATTAATTGTGAACAAGCATTCAATAAATTAGAAGAAAAGAGAATTAACCACTACTCCTGTATTAGCAAACCGAATTCTTGAAAATCTACTCATTTCAGATACAGATGCTAGTGATTTTGTAGTTGGGAGTAGTGTTATCACAATTAAATATAATATGGAAAATAACACACTATTACCTACTATAGAAAGGCAATGAATGCTGCAAAAAAGGAGGTATTGTACAACCTGAAAAGAGCTACTACGTGTTATTCTAGCCCTGGGCTATTTCCGTCATTAGTTTATGTACCAAAGATCATGCAGCATTGAAGTGTCTGATGAACTTTTGCAATCCAGAAGGCTAGATAGCAAGATTTCTCCAAACATTTCATGAGTACTATTTTAATAACATCATGTATCACCCTGGATTAAACCATGGAAGTCCTAATGCATCATTCTAAAGACTGTGTAGTAATGAATATAAAAAAGAGGGAAGCACAAGATAGTAAAGATGACCAACCTAAAGCACAAAGGAGTATTATCTAAGATGTGACATTGACAAGTGATGATGTAGAACTGATTAGGTCCAACAGTCAATTGAAATATCACCAGGCAGAAGGTACGAGTTCGAAACCAATTATTTAGTGAATCAAGAATAGTGCAGAAAAAAACCTCATAGTAAACAGTTGTTCCATACAGCCTGAAGACAAAGATGTATTGGGCACAATTGGATTCATTGTGTTTATAAGAAGGCTTGTTATTTAATATATTAGTGGAGAGAAACAACGACTATAGTTATAATGCTTGGAGACGGCTTGAATGGATAATGAAGGAAAACTTTAATATGTCATGATGACAAAATCTTGTCGAAATGTTGTACATTTGCTGTTATGTTAAACTTGTATTAAAGTTTTTCTTCATTACCCATTCAAGCCATCTCCAAGCATTATTAGTCTCAAAGTGGGTTCCTTGTCATCGAATTTGAACAACTACAGTTGATACTTCCACAGTCTCTACATTCCGAAGCACTCCATTATCTCCACAACTTTCTAATGGATGGACATTTAGGTGTTAAGAAGAGATTGGAGTGAATATGAGAATACTTTTATTGGGTTTGGTGCCTGGGATCTGTATAGAATTGGCATAAAATGTATGGAGTATGTTGTCAGAGGAAAATTCCATGAAAGAAACATCATGGGCAGCTACATCAGTCTGTGTAGAGAGCACCACTTGAGAAATTTGCTGTCAATGTGCTGGATCTCCTGCCACAAAGTAATTGTGATGGGCTATTTCACTGAATGACTAGAAATATATGTTGTTTCTTACCAGGAAGCAGAAACTCATCAACGAATTAGTTTCAAGATTTGGCATGCCTGAAGGAGTTCACTCAGGTAAAGGATGGAACTTTGAATCAGCCTTGTTTGCAGAAATAGATCAGATCTATGGAATCAAAAAGACCAGGGCAATAGCTCTTCATCCACCTTCTGATAGCATGGTGGAGAGATACAACTGTACTGTTAAATCAATTAGCCATTTAAGTGGCTGAACATTAGAAAACATGGGATGAGGATATTCCATTGTTACTAATGAGTTACCAAACACCAGTTCATGAAGATACAGGCAACATACCATTATCACTGATTGAAAAGTCAGTGAAATATTCAGCATGTGAAAAGTAGAGTAGTTGTTGATCAGTAGAAGGTTGTTCATGCAAAGTTAATCAATGATTAAGTTTGTCAGGTTTGTAATCAATCATGCAAATTTTTGTGAAACGTTATTAGTGTATTAGGCCAACAGTAGTTTCAGAGTTTGTCAAAAAATTTGTTTGTGAACTTAGGATCACAACTTTCATCAAAGTGAACATAGCATTTAGAAAACGTTATTGAAGAAGTAACTTAATTCATTATCATTGCATGGACTGGATTTAGTATTATTTTTACCAAATAATCAAAAAGAACCTGCCCAACAATAGAACATTTTACAACAATATTGACTATTATTGTAATATTTAGTAGCATATACAATCATCTAATTAATTAATTACTTTTTATAGATTTGGTGATAGTATAAGCTGTTAATCATAAAAATCATTGATATTAATTGCCACAAACTTACTGTAAGTACATAATATTGAACATATTACTTCACTTACATTGACTATCATTCCCAAAAAGTCATTACAACCCGAAATTGCTAGACACGCTTCTCAACTTTTGTATTTTTCTTTTTGTCAAAACAAAATTTTGGGAATTGAGAGATGAAATTCCATCAAATGGTTTTATATTTTCGGTGGATAATTAGTGCTAAATAGTATATTTATTCGTAAAGTTATATTATATCTTCTGTGGTTTATGATTGCAATTTAGTACACTAAATGTTGGTTATATTTTTTTAAGTTGAATATGGAGATTATATTTTTTGAAATATTATTACAAGTTTCTGCACTTAATTATGAGCTAGGAATGGATTGGACTCTTTAATCTTGTCCTTAGGATACGTTCCACTTCTTGAAAACTCAAATTCATTGCTTGTATATCTTTACATCTTTCAAGCTTGCTATATAATTAGTACAGGTTAAGCCTGTAGATGTGTTACTTGACCAATACCTGCTTTATAGATGTAACCACACATTATGATCCACTTTAGCCAATGCATTTGGCTGAAATTTTAAGCAACAGAATTTGCCTGACCATGTATTGGAAGTTAACTTTTTTCGTGAAGTATCAAATTCTGGATGTGTCTGGCTATCTTAGTTTAGAATTAACTAAAGTTTTTTCTATTCCTTGTTGCTGAGTGTTCTCAAAGCCTAATTCCATTGTTTTAATAGATTGCCAGAACAATTGAAGATCATGGTGGAGAGATGCCACCTTGGCTGAAAATGCTGGCCAAAGAGCCCAGCTAATGTTCAGCCTTTTCTTCACTTGATTAGTGAAACAGATGCTGGATGTCAAGCTCGAGGTTCACCAATGTTGGATAATTATGGCAGCACTCAGGAACTTAGTTGCCATTAAACTACAATACCACTCACCAGTGTAAGCTGTGCAAGAATATATATATATTTTAAATTATTTTTATTTATTTCTTTGGTTTCTTCTTTCCATGTATACATGTACATACTGTAATGAAATGTTGTAGTTTATATGTGCGTGAATAGTTATTTTAATTATAGTTTGCTTTTTTATTTGTGCAAAAGGTTATTTTTAGTGTACCTTTATTGTACCATTTATTATAAAGGGTTTCACTTTATGTCCACATCTTATGTCCACAGTAGGACACCAGTAAGTCTTTGGATTTACAATGCTAAAATCAGAGGGTTCAGATTTCTCTTGGTGGACACTCAATACACCTATATCTTAGTGGTAAAGGGTTTTCTTCTTATTGTTAGTGTTATTTTATTATTAAAGAGTATAATTTTGTTCTGTCTCATGGCATGTTGCAGTTTCCTGCTTTAATATTAAGGGGTATTTTTTAACATGTGAAATATTGCTTTTTATCTCTGTTAAGGAGTTTGTGATCATGTTGTGTAAAAACAAATTATATTTTTTATGATTATGGTTGTATTTATTATTTCCTTCTGTCATTTAGTTTATCTATGAATTTTTAGGTGCATTAAAATGCAAAATCACCTTCTAGCTAATCATTTGTATATTGAGTAAATATGTATGTATGACGAAACTGACACCAGCTTCTATAGTGGTGATGTACAGATACTATTAATGTAGCAGAAGATTATGTAAATATATGATCAAATGAGGTTACTTTCATGACCTCCTGAGTGAATAAATGCCCTGTCAGAAGCTTCACTAAGAGAGAGATTTACGAGATAGTTAGTGAACGATATCTTTGGTGAATTATTGCTGTTTATCATTCGGTATTGTTATTAATATTGAAAGGTATTTTTGAATATTGTATTTGCTGTATTTTTTTGGAATTTGGTTTTTTCTTTCTGATTCTTTTTCGTGATTCAGATATTTTAAATAATATTTATATATATGTTATTTGTTAACATTAGTGTCAAGTCCTGTCCAGGCACATGGTTATTTACTGTATTTTGGTATGTGTTGAATTTATTTCTAAGTGTTGTTATTGTTGAATAAATTGTTGTTTTTATTGAACCCTGATTGTAGGAGTGTATTCATTTTAGACCATTACATTGGTGTCCAAACAGGGACCATTTTCATAAAGGTTGAATTGTGACTTTGGATTTTTTGTTTCTCAATTTGGTAGTTACTTATTAATTCAGCAATGATTTAAGTTCAGTTAAATATAAGTTAACTAGTGTTTGAAAATAACTGTATTACTATGGAAGTTAGTGAGTCTGATGTGGCAAGCTTGAATCAGTCTGTGTCAATATTTACAGAACTGGTGGAAATGCTAATACAAATGTTGAGAGACCATTCTACCTACAGACCTGTTGAAAATTCATCAGTTTACATCACTGCCGTCAACCCACTACCCCTGCCCGTTGAGAAGTTCAGCAGTAAGTCGGATTTTAATGCTTTTAAGTTTCTTAAATGTTTAGAAAGACATTTTTATATCTATCAAGTGCTTGAGAATAAATAGTTGGAAATTGCAGATTCTTGTTTGAGGGGAGGGCCACTAGAATAGTGGAAGGCTTTTGGATCAGAAATGGCTTTCCAACACTGGGGACAATCTAATGAAGCATTGACTAATTTGTAGCAAGCAGTGTTATATAATATCAAATTGGCCAAGGAACTCTTTAGTAGGAAGTACTATGCTAAGACGTTTATTTGGAAAGCTGTGAAACTTATAAATTATGGAACCCTAAAGCTACAGAAAGAGATATTGTAAAGCATATAATATCGAAAATTGCATGTTTTTTTACGAGAATACTTGGAATGCCACTTTGTTATATCTATTTCTGATATATTTAAATTTACTAAACAATACGAGCATTGTCAGAACAATAAACTTGTAATAGTGAAGTGATTAAAATTTAGTGCAGTAATAGACCTGTGCAATGGTATACTTGTATTCAAATAGGGCACTTATCTATGCATTGTCCCTAGAAAATAAAATATGCAAAAAAGGGAACACAGAAATGAAGGACAGTGGTCAGGAAACGAGAGCAGGGATGAAAGAAGGAAGTTTTGAATTCTGTGAAAGTAAACCCTCCATTAACTATTTAACAACAACTAAAATGGATCTGCTACACCTAACCCTAAAAATTAATGGTGTGAAAGTAGTAGGTCGGATTATTCAGTACTAAATGAAAATATATCACAATAAATCAAGAGAAATTATCAACATTTCAACAAAAAACTTTTAGTGAAGGTAACGTGTCTTGCAGATGGAATGACAAACTGTTAACTGTTAGAATATTTTGAAGCAAAACTATTAGTAAAAAATAGCATTGTGGAACAATATTTTGTTGTCATCAAAGATTTGGCTTCATCTTCTCTTATTGGATTAGACATCATTCAGCAAAACAAAGCAACCCTTAACTTATTCACAAATTTTTTGAATTAAATGTGTCATCTGTTGGGCATGACTAAGAGTGAAGAAGTACAATGTTCACATTTAAAGAGTAAAGACTGTGAACAATTAAAGCAACTTGTGTTGAAATATGCCAATATTTTAAACAATAAACCTGGCCTCCCAGGTTTGAATATTTTGTCAGGGACAACCTGTATCAATACATTAGACTCATCCAGTGGATATTGGCAAATACCTATTAAGATGGAGGATTAACATAAAACTGCCTTCATAATTGATAATAAATTTTATCAATTTATAGTGATGTCTTTTACATGCACCTGCCACCTTTCAAAGACTTATGGATAGGGCTTTAGCAGGAGCAACTAAACATTCCAAGGTTTATGTTTATGATATTATATTATTTTCACCTACATTTGAAGAACACTTGAAAGTTCTTGAATTGTTTTCTACAAACTATGTAGAGCTAATCTTACTGTAAAATTTTCTAAAAGCAAATTTGGCCAATCAGAAGTATCATGCAGTACTGTGCAAAAGTGCTAGGACAAGAGAATATTATGTCATTCTTTCCATTTTATGGGGCTAATTCTTCCATGCCATTACAGAATGTAAATTTCGACACTCTGGTAATACTTCACTGATCTCTGTTTACAATTTAATGAGCCAGAGTGAGAATACTTATCATTCTTTAGAATTCCCATATACTTGTACCAAGGGCATGTCATAAAGGTTCTGCTTGAATGAAAATACTGATGAAACTTAGTGTCTGAAGTAACTGTCATGGTACCCCATGAATGTCTTAACCACTTAGAAAATAGTTAGCAAGGAGCTAGTGTATGGTACTGGTATATGCTAGAAGAACTCAATTTAATAGCACTCTACAAATAAACCGTGATAAAAACAGAGTTTAACACCATATATTAAGTTTTCCTTTCATGTCACGGCCCAAAAACCATAGATAATTGTTAGTAGAGCAGAGAGTTTGCATAAAAGCTTCATGTAAAACTGGTTGAATTTTCTGAAAAATTACTGCAGACATGAAATGCTCTCTAAACACTGTCAGTTACACCATAGATCATGAGACTGAGACAGGTACATTTGAAATAGGAAAGGAAGAGGCAGAACACCTAAACTCAATGATACTGATGTTAAGTATCTTTGTTTGTGCAGCCTTTGGGACAGAAGGAAGGCTGCTTCTGATCTCAAGCATGAGAAAAACAACCATGAACCAAATGACAGAAAAGGGTCCAGATCAATAGTATCAAGAAGACTCAACAAGAATGGAATATTTGGTCGTGTAGCAGTTAAAAAACCTTTACTTTGATCTTCAAGTATTGTAAAGAGACTGAACATTACTAAAAAGTACAAAAACTGGACTGTTGATGTTTGGAAAAGGTTGTTATGGATAGATGAATCCAAGTTTGAAATATTTGGTTTAAAGCATAGGTTATACATCTGGTGGAAGATAGGTGAAAGGTACCTCAATGCATAGCACCTACCATGGAGCATGGGAGAGGCAGTGTGATGGTTTGGGGGTGTTTTTCTGCTGAGGCAACAGAAGATATTTGCAAAATGGATGGAATAATGGACCAGTGCCAGTACCATCAGATAATGATCTGTCATGGTATACCTAGTGGTTTGCATATTATTGGATAAAGGGTTCTACCAAGAAGATAATGACTCCAAACACTCATCCAACCTATGCAGAAATTCCTTGACTATGAAAGAAGCTGCCAGAGTCATTCAAATAATTCATTGGCCCCCAAGAGATCCCTGATCTCAACCCAGTTGAGCAGATCTGGGATTTGATAGATCAAAACTTGACAAATCAAAGGTTATTTCCAAAGAAACTTTATGGGAGTGTATTACAGACATTTGGAGTAAATTCTCAAAGGACACTTTGATTAAATATGTTGCTACAATGCCTGAAAGACTGTCTGCAGTTATTAAAGCGAAAGGGGGAACACACAACATATTAACTGTTTGTTTAACTCAAGCACTTCCACCGAGTTTATCTTGTTCTAAATAATTTACCTTTCATTGTTCTTTGAAAGTAGCCTCAGTTCTATTTTTTGACTTTGTTTTAACACCTTTGCACAGTACTGTATGTAGGATTTAAACTCTCTTCTGAGGGAATACACACAAATGATGACAAAGTGAAAGCTGTTAAAGATTTCCCAACTCCAAGAAACTGCAAAGAGTTAAGCACTTTCTTGGGTGTGCCTGGTGCAATCAATTCTTTCTAAACTTTGCTACAATTGCTGAACCTTTATATAAGCCATGAAGAAAGCATATCAGGTGGAAATGGACCCCCCAGTGTGAGGATGCATTCCAGAAATTAAAGCAGGCTTTAAGTGAATCCCCTGTCTTGCAACTTCCAAGGAAAGGTGAACACTATTTTTTGCATACTGATGCTTCAAATGTTGGATTAGGAACAGTTCTGTGCTAGAAGGGTGTCATAGCATATGCCACTAGAACACTAAACTCTGCCGATTGAAACTATACTACTATAGAATTAGAATATCTAGCCATAGTCTGGGTTATAGAAAAATTTAAGATATATCTAGATGGAGAAACATTTACAGTTATAACTGACCACACTGCTTTGAAATGGTTAAAGACAGTTCTGAAGTTAATTGGTAGACTGATGCATTGGTCATTAAAATTACAAGACTTAACATTTGAAATATTGTACAGAAAAGGAAAAGAAAACTAGTTACATGATGCCCTATATATACATTATCTTGATCCTCCAGAAGAAACTCCAGATTTGGACATTAGTAAGCTGTCACCTAAACATTTTGCCATTGTCAATGTTAACACTGGAGAACAGTTTGCTACTGAACAAGTTAAAGGTGATGAGTATAAACATATATACTCTTATTTGAAAAATGTACTATTAACAGATGATTCTACTATAATTGGAGACTGTAAGTAAATACAAACACTGTATTTTGAAAGATAATGTTCCTTATTACACCAAAAGAGTTGCTCGCAATGATGAATTCAGACCAGTTATTCCCAAAACTTTGAGAATGGTGATGTTAATCAAACTGCATGATCATCCTACAGCTTGTCATCTAGGTGTCCAAAAAACAATAGATGAAACATATAAAACAATGGTAACTAAACACATCTTTACACCTACTTACCATCCTCATTCTAGTATTACTGAAAGAGTAGATAGAAATATTGGTAGAATAATATCTGTTATATTGAAAAAATAATCAAACTTTGGATAATTATTTATCTTAATTTTCTCTTGCCATTAAAACTTTACAGGTTTACAGGTTACACACCAGCCAAACTTCACTTGGGACAGACTGATGAAATACCTCAATCTATAGATGAACAAACAGCAGAATTACAAGATGTCATACAGAAGGCAAATTCCAATGTTGAAAAGGCTCAGAAGTGACACCAACAAGCTTACAACCCAAAAAAGATACCCAGACATCTTTAAAGTAGGTGATTTAGTATTATTAAGGACACACCCTTTATCTTTTGCAATAAATTATTTTACTGTAAAATTTGATCTGAGGTGGAACAATCCTTTCAAAATTGTGTGTGGGTGTGCTGTATTTTTTGGAGTTAAGTTTTTTCTTTCTGGTTCTTTTTTTTTTTCCTGATTCCATTATTTGAAAAAATATTCATATTTGTGATATATTGTTTATTGACCAGGCCAGGCATGTGTTTATTAACTGTATTTTGGTATGTGTTGAATTTATTTCTTATTGTTGAATTAATTTGTTGTTGAACCCTGATTCTAGTGGCATGTTGATTTTAGACCGTTATAATGTAATTTTCACTGTAATGGGTTTTCATTTTGTATATGCCTGTATAGGGTGTTATACTACCCATATGAAAGGGTGTAAGTATTCATTGGTAATGTTTTTCTTTATGCCTTTCATGTTAAAGCATATTTCTTTGACACTATGTTCTTATCTTTGTATTTTTGTCATTATAAGTGCATACCTGCGAGTTGCTTATTCTTTATTAGAGTTTGTGTTGTCTATAAGGTGTATGTGTGTGTTTTAGGGATAAGGTAAAGTTAATATGATCCTAGATCATGTCATGAGTTTAAGGATGGCTCATTTTTACAGTTAGTTTTAATTGGCAGCTAAAATAGAGAAACAAGGAGTGTGTTATGTAGCTATATAATGCAGTTTTTATCTTCCATAACAGTATAGATTAACAAAAAATTTTTGATTATTTAGTTTCCTTCCTGTCATGGTAGCTGCACATAGTCAAGAAGTTGTTTCCTTTGCTATTTTATAATTGCTTCAATTATTTGTTTTCTAATAGGTGATGTCTCTTTTTACCTGCACAGATGTTTCAGCACTGTGTGTGTAAAATCCAGGTTGAATGGTTTTACATTGAAATATCCTAGGATGGCCAATTATTGCAGGTGTATCTGTCTGATACTTGTCAGGAGACTGGTTTTATCTGAAAATACCATGTTAGCATGCAGGATTTATGAGAAGACAGAGAACAGAACTAAGAAACTTTTATTTCTCTTTTTGTTAATGTTGTTTTCTTGATGATGTATAATTATAGGAATTCTGATAGTACTTACAGGATTGAATATACTCCTAGGCAAAGTTTGTTATATCTGAGAATTATCCTGGGGTTGTAACAATTTCTAATTTTGTTGTATTCTCAGAAGAAACTGACATGTGAGAATTAATTGTAGAAACAGGAACATTTTGAAGTTTTTTGTAAAGTGTGAATAAAACAAACTCGACAAAAGAGAGAGAGAGAGACTCTCATATTTATCTCACTTTGAAACAAAGAATATATTTTACTTATAAATATAAAACAAGAGCATTTGAAATGTACAAGTCCTCTTTAGAATAGATGGCATTTATGTATATATTCAAGCCACAGGGGGAATGCTAGACAGGTTTACTATATAATAAAAACAAGGCTATTTTGACTAAAAAGCGACTTTGTTTGAAACTATTCTGCAACATATTCTATGCATGGTAAGTTATTGTGAATTGCTTGGGGAAAATAATTTCATAAATAAACTTTTAAACATAAACTTCACAAATAAATATAGACCTAGTCTCAAGTGCAATGTTTCAGTATAAACTGTGAGATGTATGCCTAACTTAGTTAGCTTTGTTAGATAAACAAACACATAACTCACTGAGTAACTGAATAGTAAAATAGATGTGATAACTCTCATACTAACACTGAATAACTTTTCTAACTTTGAACTAACTTGCTGGCACTCATGAACTCATTACTTAACTGATTCTCTTAGTCATAATGTGACGTGGTTCTATTTTTGCAAAAAATAATTCAATGTCCAGTCTTCTTAAATGAAAACAATTCAATTTATTCCTTATTTTAACATATTAAAAGCTCGAACACTGTTGTAACTTGTAGACTTGAGTTTCAGCCATTATAATCAAATTATACAGTTTTTCAGATATAAAATACTGTTTAGTGTATCTAGTATTATCAATCAATATATTTTGTGTTTTTAATTTGTCGATGTCGAGGCTATAGAACGTTGTGTTTGAAATCCATTGATATTGAAGCTATGGAGATTTCTATAAGATGTAAGTGATAGATGTACAAGTAGCTGCGATCAGGCAAATGGAGACAAGAGTAAAAGTAATGTCAACGTGAAAGAGAAGTTTGGTCAGAGAAAAGTTAGAAAACATAAAGTTAACTATCATGAAAATGAATGGCCTAACAGTTGATATGTTAGAGTGAGATTAACAGTTTGAAAAGGATAAGAAGAAGAATTTGTCTCTTTTAAAGGGTGTTCTAAAATAATTGAGCCTGCCCATGTGGACTTTGACAAAAGGCAGATACTATATGGATACTATTGCGATAAAAATAGTTTAGCTTGTCAATTGAATTGGCCTTAGCGGACTTTGACAAGAAGAAGAGAACAAGTCACAAACATCTACTGTACAAGAATCCTTAGCCTATCACACCTATATATTTATATTACTATATATACTACTAAAAAGTAAGTTCCTGACACAATTGTTATGGTGTGTGCATTCTTACAAGCTGGCAAAGAATGATTACAATTATACATGCCATAAAACATTAATATTAGGCCTATTACATTTTTAAACACTACATTCTTTTTTCGTCCCTTAGGGTTTATACACAAGTAGAAGAGTGTATGATAGTAGTATCCCAACCACATTATATCTGTCATATCTATTGTCAATTCATAGCTCTACATGCCAGCTGGGATACAACAAATACAGAAGTGGTCGGAACACTATTTATATAATCCATTTGATACAACAAAAATTGTTATAAGACACTAGTATGAGGCCTATAACATTTTAAAACACTAAATCACTTATTTACTCTATTATGGATTCTCAAGAATTAGAAGAGGGTATAATAATAGTATTCCAACCAACTTATTTGTCATATCCATTGCCAAGAACAAGTTTTGCTCAATCCACAACTATTTGGGTCGATTTGGTTACAATAAACACATTTGTGGTCTGAACACTATTTTTATAAGCCATTTGACACAACAGCAATTGTTATAGTGTGTAAACCTTTTACAAGCTGGCGAAGAATGATTATAATTACACTTGTCATAATGATCGCATACCTTATTTTGTCCTGGGCCTGTGAAGTTTTTGTTCTTAACCTCAGCTAACCACCAAAGATGCTGACCTTGAGTGGAGAGAAATAATGCCTTTACCATAGATGCTTTTGCTTGACATATATAGTTAAAGAATAAAGATGATTTTGTGTCTGAGTTTGTTTGTTTGTAATCAATAAGCACAAAGCTACACAATGAGCTATCTGTGCTGTGACCACCACGAGTATCGAAAATTGGTTTATAGCATTATAAACCTTCAGACTTACCACCATTGTACCACTGAAGGGGTTGTGTCTGAGAGAAGCATTTTTATCAAGTGTAATTAATTTTTTTTTGTTGAGCTTAAGTTATTTCACTTTCTGTTGATTTTAAGTTCAACCTACAACCCAACATTCTTGCATAAGTGTTTTATATTACATTTTTTGTTTGGTTTAAAAATTAATTTACATTCTTTACATAAGTGTGAAAAGCTTATCTTTACCTTTAGATAGTGCAATGATTCGTGAGCGAATCCAGATCCTTGGAGCTTAAGTATAGATCAAGAGATTCTAGACTTTTCGATTAATAGCTCTTTCCAGAGGCATTACTAGTCATTGGCACAAGGAGCTCGTGACCCTATTCTACTTACTGTGCCCCGAATTCGCAGTTGGTGTCTTGAAAAATCAGAATAAAAAAATTTGATCAATGTTATACTGAAATGCCAAACATTTAGACGCCTATGAGCGCCGGATCTTTTAATTACCTAGCAACACCTCTGACTCTTATAAACAAATGTTTGTAGGTGCTCCAGACTTATGTCGAACTATACTACTGTAGATATATAATAATTTAAATATAGATGTCCAGTGATCCTCGACTTTCCCTGAAGTAAGACTCACATTTTGATTTTATATTAGGTCGTCAAGAAATTAATGTCGCTTTTTGTCAGATGGAAAACCCGAACAACTTGTATATCAAAACAAAACATTTATTGAATGATGTAGTCTCCATTCTTATCAATGATGTTTTCCATCTTACAATCAGGTTGTTAATCCCTGATTAAAGAAATCGCTTGGCTTTGAAGCAAAAAACATGTTGATGTCCTCTTTAACACCTTCCACATTTTTATATGTTTTCCCATTAAGATGGTGTTGCAGCGAATGAAAAAGATAGTAATCTGATGGTGCCATATCTGGAGAATATGGTGGGTGGGGGAGAACTTCCCAACCAAACTCCATAATCTTGTGTCAAACGTGCTATGTGGACGTACATTGTCGTGAAGAAGAAGAACACCTTTCCGATTGATGAGTGAAGGGCATTTCTGATGAAGGTCTTGATTTAAATGTTCTAGTTGCTGACTAGATCTCTGCATTGACAGTTCGCTGTGGATTGAGAAGTTTGAAATTAATTACTCCTTTGATGTCCAACCAAATGGAAAGTATCACTTTCTGTGGATGGAGTCCAGGTTTTGGGGTCGGAAGTGGTTTTTTATAGGACTGAGCCATTGTTTTTGGCATTTAATATTCACACAGAGAATCCATTTTTCATCACCTATGACAATTCTGTCCAAAAATGGTTCACACACAATACATGTCAGAAGAGAGAAAGCAACCTTCACACGTTGGAAATGATGATCATCCGAGAGTTTGTGAGGCACCCAAGCACCTTTAAGGAGTTTTCCCATATTCCTTAGATGTTTACATATTGTTTCTTGAGAGACATGCAATTTCAGGGCCATTTCAGAGTATCGATTCCAATATGTCGGCCCCTGCCATCACAGTTTTGAAGGCTAAAATCACCTGAACGAAATTTGCTGAATCATCGTTGACACTTACAAACGTTCAAAACATTTCCATGAACGTTTTTTGATATTCTTTGTAGCTATAGAGGCACTATTTCCCTTCTTGTATTCAAACAGCATTACATGCCGATTGTGTCTCGTCGTGTGCCATCATTATAAGGGAGTAGAGTATATTAAACTTTACACATTATATAGGCTACACTAACATGATGTTTGGGCAGTTCGTTTAACTATTATACGTGATGTACGATGTTGGGGGTGGTGGTTAATAAAAGTGTTCAAAAACGTGACAATAATTTCTTGACGACCTAATACTTGAAAGGTTTATGTCATTTGTTGTGTTGTTCCTTTTTATTTATTCATCTGCAATATATAATTAACTACTTGTGTGTTGTTTTTTTTGTATTCAAATTATTACTTGAGTGAATTCAATGTCGTATTATATTACCACTGAGTCTATGAGTGAAGAAGACATGTATGGTGGGTTAATCAATTCCAAAACAAAGCTTTTTTGGTAATCTTGCTCTCTTTCTTTCTTTTTTGGAAAATTCTCTGTAGATATTTAATTCCTTGGGATATCTGGAATCTGACTTGTCTAGTAGCTTTGCCGAATTTCCATTAGTTTTCAGGCTATGAGGGAGTGAAACCTATACCTCCAAACACAGTAGTGACTGCATACATTGGGTAATACAAGATGTAGTTCCTCACCTTAGTTCTATAAAGCCATTTTCGTGAGTTATGTCGATAAAG